ATGCTCATCATTATGCAGTCTTAACCTCATCAAAAACATAATCTTATACCCCATTCATACATAAACGTGTTTAGTTAAACTATGTTTTCATTAGGAAAAAAATTGAGAAACTAGAAACCTACAAAATAATGAAACTTTCTAAATTATTGTCAGAGCAAGACAAAGGATAGTTTACATGCATTATTTCACCAAATATTGTGCAGTGTTCGTAGATAGTTTTCCAAACCTGTTTAGTTAAGTCACTTTAAAACATGTTTAAGCCTTGGTGTAAATGGGGTATTAGTGTTCCAACTTGTTTCATTAGTATTCCATTAATACTAATAGCATTTTAATGGTTTTTATGATGATACATCTATGCTCTGATCCCATCTTGTTTCTCAGGTTTCGGTTTTGTGGTCGTATTATCGGTCTGGTCATCGTCCATCAACATCTCCTCGATGCCTTCTTCACCAGAACGTTTTATAAATCTTTACTTAGAAGGTAAGATAAACTTAAAGTTTTTCTCCTCATAACAAAATTTCGATCTCAAGACACGAAGTATTTCAAGTTTGTTTACAAGCCAGCAGAGCCTTCCCTTAGGGACCGYGAAAAGAAACTTGAAGATCTTCGAGAAAATTTGCAAAACTGAGGTGTCACTTTTAGAATTTTGGATTTCAATGCAAGCTACCAAATAAAAAGATAACGTTGCTAATAGCTTGATAACACTAATGGCACAATAATTAATGAGTTTTATATTTCTATTCCAATGGCGGACGTTTTGCAGTGGCCATTAGTTATACGTCACTAGAGACCTTCAGATGCAACCACGAGTACGAGGACGAGTTTTCAACTATCATTTCGTAGTCGTGATCCTGTACGTAGATTGAAACTTTCGATTGTAAAAGGTTGAAATCAGGACCAGTGTTAAAACTAGTACTCGTACTTGTCATCGGATCTGAAGGTCTCCCCCGAATATCAGCACGCACCTGCAACGCCATATAGCGCGCACCTACTTTTATTGAGCTCTTAATCTGGTCATATTTCAGCCCGTGTGACCTGAGTGACGTGGAATCATTAGACGCATTGTTCCATCAGAGTATGACATGGGTCATAGAGAATAACATTGAGGACGTCTTGGACCTGACCTTCACAGTCAGTGAGGAAATTTTTGGACAGGTTTGTTTGTTTTTCATATCCTACTCTAAAATGCACTAGAATCACCCTGCTTGCAGATGTCCCAATCCGCTTTACGTGCTCTTGTTGTTGCTGTTACTGGGGGCAACTGATAGTATCATTTTGTTTGGTATAGGTTACGGAGCGCGAGCTTATCCCTGGTGGTGTAGACATCGCCGTGACAGAAGCAAACAAGACGGAATATGTTAATGAAATGGTTAAATGGCGGGTGGAACGAGGCGTGTCGGAACAGATGCAGAGTATCGTTCGAGGATTCAACGAGGTATACCATCGCCATACAGTTTTCTTTCAAGATTGTTTTCCAATAATATTTTGAAATTTTTACCCGTTTAACGATTTTAAATATTTTCAATTTTCTTTCCATTGTATTTCATTCTTTTAATTTCTTTCATGGTTTAGTGGATACCAATGTTTTTCTTTCTATTTTCTTTCTTTCTATGTTTTATTCATTCATTGATGCCTTTTCCCCCTTTTTCACAGTGGGTTTTCTCTATTTTGTTCACAGGTCATTGATCCCAACTTTATGAATATTTTCGACGCCCGTGAGCTGGAGCTAGTGATATCAGGAACAGCAGACATCGATATCAAAGACTGGAGACGACATACTGAATACCGTTCAGGTTGGCTCATCTCACTATATGTTTTCGCTGTAACGCACACGAAATAATACCCAGAGCTAAATCTTGGATGCATGATGTATTGCAAACAGCGTTGTGCATCCTGCAACGAACAAAATAATTGTCCATAACACAAAAACAAATCACGTCTATTTTCACGACCATTTCATGGCGGGAACAAGTCTAATTTATTGAGGTGATGGCGTGACGTTTCCAGACAGTGTTGGTGTACTGTTGTCCAAAGTACTCCAACAAAATGCAGTCTTATAAGGAATTGCTGCCAATATAAACCTCTTGCATTAATTTCCTAGGCGAAATTGTTTTGGGGGACAAAACAATAGGCCGTCTTTTCTTATTCAAAAAAGAAAGAAAAAAAAAAAAAAATCCATTGTTTTGTCCCCCAGAACAATTCCTTTCAAGCAAAGATGTTTCGTGATATGCATGCCTGTAAGAGAATGTTGCCAGTCAACGCCTTCTCCTACAGCAATTAATCTTGCATTGAACCTTGACAACAAACTGAAACAAAATTCTTTACATTTTCTAGGTTATCATGACAGCCATAAAGTCATCAAATGGTTCTGGAAATCGGTAACTTCATTCGATAACGAACAACGTCTTAGACTTTTACAAGTAAGAAAACTCTCTCGATGTTACCATGTCAACGATTTCCATGGTTACATCTCGTCTTGGTAAGATTTGACTTTGAGTGTTTCTTTTTGTGTGCTAGTTTGTTACTGGAACTTCGAGTATTCCTTACGAGGGATTTGCAGCCCTACGTGGTAGTACAGGACCAAGGAAATTCTCTATCGAAAGATGGGGTGACTACACCAAGTTACCAAGGTATGTTATTCTTCGCTTGCATGTTATGACACTGCGGCCATGTTGGTGGTATAGTACCCTTGCATGTTACGACACTGTGGCCATGTTGGTGGTAAAGTCCCCTTGCATAATACGTTACTGCGGCCATGTTTGTGGTATAGTCCCCTTGCATGTTACGACACTGCGGCCATGTTGGTGGTATAGTCCCCTTGCATGTTACG